AGCGCTTGGGATCAACACCTCCTTTCGGCAACGCTTCTCTAGTATCCCGTCTCATCTGGTTTGTACGGAGTTCCCAGCGATCGCTGACCAGTCAGGGGCACTGTTTATTGGAAGTAAAAACTTCCGAAAACAGTCACTCCAAAAACACCAGAATTCCCACCACCATCGGGAGTGCAAGAATGCCAAGCAGCTTCGCGACCGTGACAGCGCTGCCCGTCCCGCTACGATCCCCCAGCATCTCCTGCGGCTCGATGAGGAGACGTATGAGCGAATGATTAAGCTCTTCAACACGGCGTATTTTGTCGCCAAGGAGGAACTTCCCTTCGCAACATACACCGGGATCCTTGGATTACAAAAGACAAATGGGGTGGATATTGGTTCCACGTATTTCAGCGACAAAGCATGCAGGAGGTAGGAATACATGTCTAAATTTCATACAAATTTTTATGTTAATCAGTTCATATTCTGTAGATCAATATCTATTTCAACATGGTTCATATTATTTGACGATCATAACTAAGACAAGTGTCGATAATTTATTGGTAATACTGAATATTTGCACATTCCTTCTCAGGCTTCTGCATAAACTGTAGCTCTAGTACTATAGCCCGCGTTCATTAACTGCCGCGTTAGCAGCGTTAGCAGCGTTAGCAGCCTGCGGCAGTTAATGAACGTGGGCTATAGTAGCCTACTAGAGCTACATAAACTGCTGCTCTATGACTATGTAACCTGCTTATTTCATCAGCGCGCACACCGTGTCTTCATGTAGTGTGAAGGATTGGGGGTGTGCGAATCTTTAGTAAATATTACCATTTTATTTAGTTATTTTTTCCACTTTAAAATGTTAAGAAAAAAGTTGTTTTGCATGATTGCATCAATTGCTGGGTTGGTCCGAGATAATGTTTATGATTTAATTTTATCCCTACCAAGCGACTTCACTAATCACTTAGAAAGATACATTTCTTTCCAAGAACATGACATTAATGTCTTAACAAATGGTTCTAATTTAGTTAAAATTTTATGAATGTTTACAAAAATTAATTGGCTGTATTTCTTTTCTTGTACAGATTTACCAATTACATCTACCAAGATTTAGAGGAGGATAAAATGGAGCCAGCAAGGAAGGCCAGGTACATCAGCATCCTGGTGGATTTGTCCACTGATGTTATTAACAGAGACCTGGAGATCGTGCATCTCCGCTTTGTGAAGAGTGGGCTGCCAATGTTCCTGGGAGTAGTGGAGTTAGAGTCCGCGGATGCTGTTGGCCACCGTGGAGCCATTGAAACGAGTATGTAAATTGTAAAATAAGTGTAACTATAATTTTGCTAAATAATTGTACACATCAAAAACATGTTGGTTCCTATTTTATTTATTTTCATTAAAATGTCAATTATATTTTTTAAATTTCTAGTTAATTGACAAGCTCAATGCATGATAAAATTGATTGTGAAGAAAGATACAATTTAGTTTCAGATGTGCAGAAAAGGGGAAAAAAACTTCAAATCTTTGTTTAAAAGTTAAATTGATATTTTTCTAATATATAATATGCACATTTTTCCATAATGTTAATCATTAATAATTTAGTGTGCTAAACCTAACAGCCTAACTTGATAGTGTATGATTGTATCACAAATTAATATTTTGGTTTGTATGGCTGTTTTCTTTTCAGTTCTTGCCCGAGTAAATCTGTCTGACTGGTGGGAGTCTATCGTTGGGTTAGGGGCAGATGGAGCTGCCACAATGCAAGGCATCAACAGAGGTCTGGCAGCAAGGCTCCAACAAGAGTTTCCGTGGATCGTGTCATTACACTGCCTGGCCCACCGCCTTGAGCTTACGGCAGGAGACACCATTAAAGAAGTGAGAAAAGTTCGGGAGATCCTGGACTTGCTGGAGAGCATTTACAAGCTCTACAAAGTGTCTCCGAAAATGTGGCGGGAATTGAGAGAGGTTGGCGACCTGTTTAGGACCAAAGTGCAGAAGCCACAACGAACCCAGGGGACCCGATGGCTAGCGTACCTACGGCATGCCATGCAAGTCACAGTCAGGAACTACAGTGCCATCGTGGGGCATCTGCAAGATGTAATCGAACAGCGGAGGGGTAGTATTGACATACAGGGCAGGGCAAGGAAGATTGTGAAGACCCTCACAGACTTCCCCACCTTGCAGTTTGTGTTCTTCCTGCAAGATGTCTTGGAGGATCTGAGCCGGTATGTTGATAACATCTCTATTGATTATCCACAGACATGACACCTTCACATTGTCAATTTGTTGTAAAACTTGATAACTTAAAGACATTTGATGATTTATATTTTAAAGCAATTATTGCAATTAAAAACAAAGAATGAAAATTTTTACTTTACAAAATTAAATATTTCCTTTTTGATAAGGAATTTTTAACCATTAAATAAAACACCTGTTTTTCCGGGAGCTTCAGCTAGAAATACAATGTCAAACGTTGTTTAAAGCTTCAAAGTATAGTCACTCATGACACTTACAGAATTAAAACAATAAAAAATCCAGATAGCAAGCTTGATTAAATCATGGAAGTTTATTGACTAAATCGGTTAAAACTTAATTTCTTTTTATTCTTTTTTTTCAAAAAATTTCAGGTTGAGTTTGAAGCTACAAGAAGATTCAGCAAGCTTGGCAGAGGCTGCACGGGCAGTGGATGCAACAGCATTCAGTCTCAGAATGTTGACGACAGAGGCTGGAAAACATCTTCAGCACTTCATAGATGAGATGACAGAAGACCCATCATCCTATCATGGCCACCAAGTGAAGAGGGTAGATAGAGAAAATGAAGAAGAGGAGTTTGCATCTAGCAGGTATGTTTTATGGCCATTATAAAGTGTTGTAAGTTAACCCATTTATTGTTGATTAGGATATTGGGGGCGGATACAACATAGAAATGTATCTTAATTTTAAGCAATACATTAATTTTGCAAACTTTGTTTGGAAAGTTGGCAAAAGTTTCATTATTTAAAGAAGATCACATGTAGAAGCAAAGAAATTATTGTTTGTATACTATAGAATGATCTAGATGTAAATTAAATTATCACTAATCAAAATATGAATCTTGAGAATTTCAAATGGCCTTTTAAATTAAATAAATTTGCCATTCATGATTCAAAATTTGTTTTTAAAACCATTCTAAATCTGTTTTTTTTTCATTTCTATTTTAATTAAAGGTCTGATGTGATCACCAAGTTGCTGAAGCACATCGAGAGACGCTTCGCCTCCCTGAAGCAGGATTTGATCCATGCTGCAACATCTATCCTTGACACCTCACAGTGGCCATCAGCAAAGGAGGAATTGGCCACTTACGCCAACACTTCTGTTGACTACACATGTCGCCACTTCAGGGACATCATCATCAAACAAGGCTGCAATCTAGAGGAGGTAATGTACGAATGGCAGGAGGCAAAACTGTTCATAGGAGACCTACCACCAGCAAGGCGCCATACCGTGTGGCGAGATATCTTCAATGACCCCGAGCTGGCAGCCAAGTTCCCCAACTTCATGCACATTGTGGAGGTACTCCTTGTTCTACCTCTCTCCACGGCAGCATGTGAAAGAGGTTTCAGTTGCATGAAACAGGTGAAGACTGACTGGAGGGCCTCCCTAACAGTAGAAATGCTGACAAAGCTGATGTTCATCGTCCTCAATGGGCCAGCCCCCACCGACTTCCGTGCAGCTGGAGCAGTGAAGGCTTGGTGGAAGGCAGCTGAAAGGACCCGGCGTCCAGATTACATGGAATAACTGAACTATTCCATGAAGATGATCAGTATTTTAATCCGAAGTGTAATATTAGTGCTTTGTAAGTTTATTTATGCATTTTCTCTGTCTCTTTACGCAACGAAATATTGAACTTAGACATGGCTGCTTTTTCTTTTTAAATGCATGCGTACCCAGGCTACTTTGTTGATATAATTATGGTTCTACTTTATCTTATTAAATCTGCAATATTTAATTTTTACAGTTTCAAAGCCTGCCAGACATTTTTACTTTCATAAGATTAAATGTATATGTTTTATTTTAACATGAAAAGCCAATGTTGTACTGGCTGCTAAACTCCAAGACTCAAATAAACACAATTGTCAATGCGTATCCCGGTGAAGGTGTTTTGATACGATTTACTGAAACACACAAATAAACGGAATATAAGCATATGCAGTTCCTTTCCACATAACGACTAGTAATACACACAGTAATACTGTACTTTCGACATAGTACTTGCTAATAAAATATTATAGCACCGATTGGAATCGAACAGAGTTACATGTATGAGTCATTGCTTATACTAAGAATAAAGCCAAACTAGTATACACTCAC